TTCGTCTTCACGTCCACTGTGCGGATCACTGAACTTCTCACGTTCGATTCGTTTTCTCGCATCCATTATCCACGAAGATTTTTCAACTTTACGTGTGGCTTCAGTTGCTGTTTGACGACTTTCATTTCATCTTAAATGTCGTAGAATGCTGGTCTAGTAATTGTCCATGGAGTCCTAAGATAGCGGTGCTGGGGCGTTACCAATTGGGTTGCAGAGCATTTATTTTCCCAGACAAGTCCGGTACCAATTTTCCGAACCTGGAGGGATGAGACGCTTGGTTGGGCCGGGACGGAATCGAACTAGCACGATGCTCGTGATGACAGACATCACTCCCATTGTGCTATTCTCCGCCTTACATAACACTGAAAAATCCAACAATGAATCAAAAGGAGATGTGCGTTGTTATTACACGTGACCTCGCAAACCTCAGTCTGATTTTATGACTTGATCCAGACACAGTCCTCACCCATTTAATCTCTGTGCGGCTGCTCTCCACCAACTAATTGGAATACTTGCAAAAAATAAGATGGCGGGTGTTTAAAAGGTGCTGCTTATTATGCCGATGCATATTTACGTATTAAGTCTCGTTTGCTAGCATGTCAATTTGCCCTTTCCAAACTCTGAAGAAGCGAAACCGCCGAAACGCCAGCCAATGTATCCTAATAAATTCTATGATATCAATCTTGTGTTTGCTCATTGAGGAAAAGTAGTGGGTGTAGAAATAAGTTTTACCAGCCGCATAGGTGAGACCGAGGATGCTGTTGTTTGAAGCGGCGGCACTGATTTTTCATAACATGCTACATCGATACAGCTTTCCACTGTGCCTGTGCACCTGGCATGAATTGAGTTTAACGACTTCGCACATACATGAAAGAAAGCGTATCATGATATGTCACAAACATAGAACCAGACGAATTACCCGAATTACCTACCCCGTTAGGACCGACAAACTTATGCGCATAATTGCTAGCATGTTCTTTAACTGTTAGATTAAAAGAGCAGATTTTAAGATAGCATCGCCTCAACGATCCACATAAGCAAACATCTGCGTAAGTACACATCGTGACCCAAGATGATCATCGTATGATTACCACCACAATAAAAAAAAGGAGGAAAAGCTGCAGTAACCACCAAACTTGTCTACTACTTTTAAAAATGAGTATTCTTCCTAGGAAGAAAAATATAACGCGTCGTCAGTTTATAGTACATTTTGCCTGGTTACCGTCACTAATGAGGAAACTTTGCTTTAAAAACAAAAGGTTAAATTCTTACAACTGAACTAGCTTCTACTACAAAGCATTGCTGATGGAAATGAATACCAAATGCTTTTTAAGGCGAAACACCAGAAAACGTTAGGTTTCGTTTCTAAGAAATGAGGATGCGTGTGGCACAGGGGTTGGAGGCGCCACTGCGACATACACGTGGAATCGATCCCCGCGCCCATGGCCCACCAAGCCTGTCATCCCTCTGGGTTTGGCAAACTAGTACCAGACTTGTCTGGGAGGATAGCAAGACTGGCTCGACACATCGGTAGACCACGGCTGGTCATTCTAAAGACCAGATATGCACTCAATAACCTCCAAACGATACTTTATGAAGTCGAATGCATAGCGCATCCCTCAAGGATTGATCAACGCCGAGAGCTTTATCCTTTTTTCTTATTCTAAGAAATGACTCACAAAATTACATTTAAAATAAAAATATCCGCAATATCTACGTTTTATTTACTGCCTTTCATTCTTCTCGTGAAAGGGTCTTGTGCGAAATATAACCACACCACAACGGTATTGAGATAATCGCAAGGCTAGGATCCCAGGCCAGCTTCGGACCCGACATTACGCTTTTAGGCAGTTCGTGTGCTACCCACTCCACCACCGAGTTTCTTGATTTGCCTTCCTCTCAACCAGTTTACTACGTTAATGGTGTGCTAACAGCAAAAACCCTTTAACAGGAATGCTCTGGAGCTCACAAATCGACACTAAACCCAGCTAAGCCAAAGCTGAGGTCGAAGTTACAACATTCAATTTTCATTTGCTGCAATATTTTACTATGACAAATGTCCAGTTTCTATAAGACTCTTTCTTGTTACATCTATATCCAAGTCCATAGAATGGTTCTTCTTCTTCGTCATAGCTTGATGTCGGCGCGTAAACGACGATTATTGTCAAGGCTGGTATTGATCTTCAATTATATCTCTTTCTTTCTTTTTAATCGTAAACGTTCGATTCGGGTTGTAAGTTGTTCGAATGAATTAATGTTCATGGACAAACTCGTGTTGATGAAAACGCCAACGCCGCCGACTCCTCTGTCGCATGTTCCGAGGAACAGTACTTCTTTCCGGTGTCATAGACGGCTTTGAATGGGTGGCGTCGTCTCAGCTCGGCCAGACCGATGACGTTGTCTCCCATTTTTCTCGCTTTCGTGACCAATTCTTCTATCGAGGACTTGGACGCAGGTGTATATGCATTGTAGGTACAGATCGCAATCTTTTTGGTTTGCAATTGAGGCAGTTTAGAATGCTCCTGAGATTTTAGCAGCTTCTCCGTACTCGTCCAACCTAACGCTGTCGAATCAGGGGCTCATTCGGGGTGAGTGGAATGAAACACGTTTCTTTTAGTGTGTTTACCTTTAGATACCCACGTATGGCATATAGGTGGTAACATTAACACCCATAGAAGGATAGTGTGAAATTCCTTCGACAAGCTTTCTAAGTTCGCAACGCTTGAAATTTAATAACTGTTGACAAATTATCGAGACTCATCGAACAACTGGCATCGCAAGCAGTCTGAACCATTATTATTGACAAGCAACTCGTTATTATCCTATTTGCAATAACTGTGATGAATTCTAGGTGCTGGATGGAAAGGGAGATAAATTTTTTGCAGGACTCGTTTTCCACATCTACTGTGTGGATTCCAGCACTTCCTGCATTCGACTAGTTTCATCGCATCCATAGTCTACGAAGGTCTTCCAACTTTTTACGTGTCGTTGCTTGTTGCTTGGAAATTTTCCTTTCATCATGAATGTCTTTGAATAGTGGTGGACTCGATTTCCTCTGGATTCCTGAGATAATGGTTTTAGACCGCTCCCATTTGGACTTTAGACAGTGAATTTTTCCCATACGAGCCCGCTACCAATTTCTAGGCCTCCAGTGGATAAGAGGCTTGTTGAACCCGGAGAGGAATCGAAGCAGCGTCGTGCTCATAATGGCTGACATTACTACTACTGCGCCACGCATCCCTTATGGAAGCATATGACAGCCGCAAAGTAAACATTGTAATATTCTTTGCGCAACTTACGTAACTTTATTAAATGCCGACCGGAGTGTGATTCCGCAGACATATCTTTTGGAAAGATCTCATGATGATTAGTTGCGAAACAACGTGACGTGCCTACAGATGACGGATAGGGCGGTTAAACGTGGACCAAAAGCGTCATATTGCTTCCTCGAAGCGCAGATGGATCCAGGGATGGACTCCTTGCCTCTACTGCACCGATTTGACACATACGCTCTGTGTCCGCGAAGAGGTATCCATGCATGCGTGCATGGGTGTGTTCTCGTTTCTGCGAATTGTATTCTACAAATCGATTCGGCCAAAAGCCTGCAATCAAGTGGCAATGACAAATTGCAGGCGGTTAGAAGTTGCCTCCAGCAAAAGAGCCCCCGTTTACTGCAGGAAAGACTGGCAGGCAACCTGTAGCGCATCAAACCCTTGTGTACAAAGACAGAGCCCAAAAACTATGCGAAGGCATTAGATGCTAAATACAGTAAAATATTCAAATATTCCAGGAACGACATATTTCAACAAACAACCTCACCTTAACTGGGTTCGATTTGGGTTTCGCAGACAAACCCCGTCGGCGGGTGATTGTTAATGGCAAAGATCGATAGAACTAGCTGAGAGACAGGCGAAACGAAAGACACTGTATAACGTGGTGGTCAACGCCCTAGCCCCGGAAAGGGTAACAGCGCATACGTTCTCCACCGCAAACACCTACCCTCCAGTGTTCTCCAAATATCTCAGCATCTTTGTGATTGTACCACACATAAAAACTTGTCGCCATGAAAAACGGTAAAAGGCAGTAAGTAAGAAAGTTAACATTATGTCAGAACGATTCTTTGTTCTTTGTTAGGCTGGCAAGCCATTCAAATCACAGAGAGCGGTGACGTATGCTTTTTCAGAGAACAGTCAGTAATATTGGCGAAAATGAAGTTGCGGTTTGGAGTCCAATGAAACCTGCCCTTCACACAAAGCACTACACCGAACATTATGCAATTCCCTCCAGTCCATGAAGAAATCCAAATTTTAATGTCTCCGGACCAAACATAAATCTAAATCATTCACTGCATTGAAAATTCTTCATAGTTCCAATTTGAATGCTTTAATCTTGGTTTTAAAACTATTCGATACATATGAAGGATAGAAAATAAACACTAATGAGAAAAGACCTGCTAAATTCCCTCCTATTGAGAGCAAGCGGAACTATTTAAACATCTCCAGCTGAAGAACCACTTGAGAAATAATCTTCGTTCAGTTAAAAACCTGTCAAAAGCATTCCTTGCGGCGAACACAGGTGCTGCATTCCCAGATTTCGAATGGCTCTGAAATGACGAATCTTGAATTGAATACGAACAAGCAACAATTCGACTGGATGTTAAGAAATTTTTGGCGACGCGAAATAAGTGAAGCAGAAGAGGTCGAGAAGAGATCAGCTGTGAAAATACTTAATATTTAAGAGAAGTTGAGCCAATTGTAGCGTCGGCTGTAAGTTTAAAAATGAGTGAAGGCAGAATCTGCGGGTGAATTCAACTGATAAACCACAATCAAGCGAAAGAAACACTTAGCAAAAACATGTAATCGTCAGATATATTTAAATTGAACAGCGGTTGGCTCCACTTTGAGGTTAATTTATTTCGAAGGTGGCCTCTTCACTACCTAATAGCGTGAGTTTATAAATCCCTTCCGATAAACGCGATCCTAAACACATACGGTGTTCAGATGGAGTGCGGCTTTTTACTATATGCGGAGCACCTCTGTGAAAACCTTAGTGGTACCAGCTCTTCATCATGCGAATTCCTGCACGAAATGGCCAGAACAGCGTGGCGGAAAATTTCAACACATGAGAAGCAGGTGCCACAGAGCCCACCTAGGAAACTTGTGTGCGTCGATAGGAAAATCTTCGCTTCAGATCTGGACCAGCAAAGCACTGGAGCTGGCACTGCTGGATCCCGCCGACAGTGCTTCGACATAGCCACAAATATCACAATGAAAGGCGATTACTATGTGTGAGTCTATCTTTGTTTTGGAGCACATATGTTTGTTTTATTCAATTCACCTCTTGGTGGTGGTCTGTTAAGAAACAATGCACGACAGACTGCTTTACGAGCCTCGCTGAGACATGATTTATTAGTGGCTTTCATTCCACATCAATACAAAATGGCGCAGTAGTGCAGTGGCTAAAGGTACTACAAAACACACGTGGTCACTGGTTCGACCATGCTCTCCGAGTTCAAGAAGCCTTCAGCCTATCCCGGTTTCGCAAGATAGTATCGAACTTGTCTGGAAAGAAAGCACGACTTGATCTGGTGTTTCAGTAAGAGAGCGCAAGTGATTGTGTAGGCCAGATCTGCATTCATTTACCTCTTAGATTGCTGAATGAAGTTGGATTTGGATCCATGGCGTATGTCTCACGAGTAGGTCAACGCCAGGCGTTTTATGCTTTCATTCTTCATCAATACATTGGTTTTTTGGACGCTAGAGCAGTTTCGTATGGACATCGGAGTGCAACCGCCTTGGTGTTGTAGTTGGGGAATTCGGTTGGCTTTGCGAAAGGTTTTCCACCATCTGCAGCTTCGACCATTGCAGCTGCTCTTCTCTGTTTAAAATCTTCTTCTATCGCCTGTCTGCATTGTTTTGCAAGTTCAGACGTTAGTTCGTGGTTGCCTGCAGTTCGTGCGATTCCACGCTGCCGTATCAGCTCGAATATTTTTGGAAACAAACGTCTCTTGGTAACCTTCGAACTCTCAGCTTTAATAGAGCTGACGTAAAAATGCTTAATGAGCCGATCGTATCTCTCGTCGATGTTTTCGTGAGCGGCACCCTTCAAATGGCTGACTAATGAATTCGATAAGTGGCGAAACCGCCAAAACATCAGCTATTGTATTCTAATAAATTCTATATTAACAACCTCGTGTCTGCTTATTGAAGAAAAACATTGAATTCGATAGTTCCTAGATTATGGTGGTTTTGAGACTTCGGTTTTTGAATTTAGCGGCTCTTTCTCCTTTTCGCAAGAAATAGAATCTTGCACGAAGGAGACAATGTTCTGATTCCGTGTAGAATTTTGGGAAACGGCGGCATCGGTAGGGCAAAACGTTTGATTTACTATGATGTGGCTGATTTGGTTATGGTGGTCTCCATTGGAAGACTCCCACGTCCAGCGCTGAGAGTGGGGCTTCTGGAATTGCGAGTTACTATGGATTGTCTTGGTCGCCATGATAAACTCAGACAGGTGCTCACCCTGCTTATTCCATTCTAATTCGTGCGTCGTAACGTGACGTTCCTCAGACGTTTCTGACCCAGTATTAGGGATAAAATCTTCAATGATGACCTTAAATAAATAGGTAAATAGAAGATTTTGCCTAACCGATGTCGTTGTTGTCCTAAAATTCTACACGGGATCTGACCATTGTCTCCTTCGTGCAAGATTCTATTTCTCGCGGAAAGAAGAAAAAGCCGCTAAATTCAAAAACCGAAGTTCCAGAACCACTACAAACTGGCACTTATTCAATTCATTAGTCGGCTGTTGGGAAGATGCCGTTGTCGATAACATCGACGAAGAATACGATCATTCATTCAACATCTTCTCGTTAGCGCTATGAAAGCTCAGAGTTCGAAAGTCACCAAGAGACGTATGTCGCCAGAAACACTCGAGCTGATACACCAGCGTGGAATCGCACGAACTGCAGGCAACCGCGAACTAACGTCCGAGCTTGCAAAACAATGCAAACAAGTGATAAAAGAAGATTTTAATCAGAGAAAAGCAGCAGCAATGGCCGAAGCTGCAAAGGCTGGGAAAAGCATTTGCAAAGTCCACCGAAACTTCGCCAATTACAAGACCAAGATGATCGCACTCCGATGCCTAGACTGAACAGCTATAGCGTCCAGTAAGCCAATGGAGAAAATCATTCAGGAATACTGTTCAGATCTTTTCGATAGCCACGTCCACCTTCCATTATGTGAAATGAAGGAGGATGGATATGTTGCATCACCGGTCCTCCCTTCCGAAATCCGACATGACATTTTGTCGGTGAAAAATCGAACAGCACCAGTTCCGGAGAGAATAAGACCATAACACCTTAAGAACCTTCCGTCAGTCTTTGTAAACACACTGGTTCGGCTCTTCACATGTTACCTGTGTGAATGCAAGGTTCCCACTCAGTGGAAGACCAGCAGAACCGTGTTGTTCAAGAAGGCTGACCAATACAATATAGGCAACAATCGCCCAATCTGCTTGCTGTCTGTCGTCTACAAACTTTTCACTAGAGTAATCCTAAACTGGACTGACAGAACATTAGACAAAGGACAGCCATGTGAGCAAGCAGGGTTTCGAAGAGGATTTAGTACGGTGGACCACATCCACACGATAACAAGACTCGTTGAAGTATCGCGAAAGTACAAAAGACCTCTCTGCCTTACTTTCATCGATTAACAGAAGGCCTTTGATTTAACTGAGATAGAAGCAGTCGTGGAAGCCCTTGATAGTCAGGGAGTCCCTACTGCGTACATAAGGACTCTTCGTGACCTGTACAAAAATTTGGCAATTAAGGTGTCACCATTCTACCACGATATTCACAATGACGTCAAAAGAGAGGTTAGGCAATGATGCGAACATTTGAATGGGATAATATAGGAGCGAAAATCGAAGATCGGCAGTTACACCGTCTTCGCTTTGCTGATAACGTTAACATCAAACATTAGCCAAGCGGAACGTATGCTTGCCGACTTCGATAAAGCCTGCGGAAAGAAAGACTGGTCTTCGACTAAATCTCACAAAAACGATGTTTTTGTCTCGTATGCCCTATTCACACTCAAACGGATCGAATATCTCTGAATGCTCCAGTTATGTCTATCTAGGTCGGGAAATCAATGTGATTAATAACTTAGCTCCAGAGCTGAGCAGAAGGAAACGAGCGGCCTGGGAAGCTATCAAGAGCATCGACGATGTAGTGAAGACGATAAAGAATGCCCAACTCCGTGCCCACATTTTCGACTCAACGACACTTCCTGCACTAACGTATACGTCAGAAATCTGCTGGCCGCGTAAGCAGGACGAAAGGTCACTCAGCGTTATCGAACGCGCAGTCGAAAGGACGATGCTAGAAGTATCCCGTTCCACACAAGTAAAGGATGGGATCCGAAGCTCCGATCTGCGTCAACGGTCAAAAATCAAAGATGCCGTTCTGTACGCCAAACGGTCGAACATAAGGTGGGCCGGACACGTAATGCGTATGAATGACAACTGATAGACAGGAGCCGTTAGTGACTGGATTCCTCGGGATGTTAAGCGACAAATGTTCTCGGCTGGAGCAACAAAAAAGATATCGATTCATGATTTATGAGATCACTCCCGGTAACAGCTGGTTGCTGACAGCACTAATCACCTGTTTTACCAGTCGCCTTGTTGGCTGCTGAGTGACTGGAGCGGATTCCAGTAAATCATCCCTTTTCCCGACGCAAGCGTAGCCTTTTGGGTCCTTAACGCTTCAGGGGTTCATTGAGCTCCGTACTTCTGTTCTAGAGTTTTCATGAAAAACTCTGACCGTCGGATCAGTGGTCTTCTTGCTGTAAGTTTGACATCCCGAGAAATCTGGTCACGGATGGCACTTCATCGGTTTTCGTTTATTTACGATTCGTGTCGGGCTCACCATATCTTCAACCTTTTGGCATATAAAACGGCGTCTATTATTCTTGATCGCTAGCGTAGGTCTCAGCTTCGGATCTCTTTCCTAACTTATATCATATGGGTTGCTCCTAGAATCGTCCTTTCGACTGCACGTTCGGTAACACTGAGTGATCTTTCATTACCCCCCACATAGCAGCGAAGTATCTGACGCATGCGTCAAGGGAGAAAGAATCGTGGATTCGAAAAATTGGGCGTGGAGTCGGTTGTTCTTTGGTCTCTTGACTACGTCTCGATGTTCTTGAACGACCAGGCCGTTCGCTTCCTCCTGGTCAATTTTAGAGCGTAGTCGTTCATCATGTTGCTCAACCGACCCAGATAGACGTAACTGTAGCATTTGGTGGTATTCGTTTTGCTGAGCGTGAATGGTGCGTGCGAAACCAATTCGATTCCTATGAACATGAGCTTTAGCGACCAATCTTTCCAGAAGCCTCATCAAAGCCGGCAAGAGATTTGTTTCGCTTGGCTAATGTTAAGTGCTATAAGAACGATACCAACAACAAATCGAAGGTGGCGTAATTGCTGGCCATTGATTTACACTCCCATATTGTCTTGTTCCAATGTTGGCAAAAAGTTCTCGAGTGTGGCGGCAAAAAATATTGGCGAGATGGTGTCGTCGTGCCTAATCCCTTTTCTGACGCCGAAGCTAATATCGTTGTAGAACTGTGATATGTTGGTTGGAAAATTCCCCATGTTTTATATATCTCACGAAGAATCTTTATACACTGGATACAGAGTTCCCGGCTGTCCTGAGCTTTAATGACTGCTTCTATCTCAAATGAGTCGAAAGCTTTTTCTTAAATCGTTGAAAGTGAGGCAGAGTACTCTTGCAATGCTTCAGTGAGTTCTGTTATCGTGCGGACCTGATCTATCGTGACGAATCTTCTTTGAAACCCTGCTTGCTCTCATGGCTTTCCTTTGTCCAGTGTTCTGTTAATCCTGTTTAGGGCGACTTAAGTGAAAAATTTGTGGACGACGGACAGTATGCGGATTGTGCGATAGTAGCCGATGTGGTGAAGGTCAGTGTTCTTGAACAATAGCACAGTCTTACTAGTCTTCCACTGAGAAAGAACCTTGCACTCTGTCAAGTAACGTGGTAAAAAACCGAGTTGGTGTGTTTATAAGGAGTGGCATTAGGTTTTTCAAGTGTTTACATCAGTTACCCACTACATTTCATTCCGTCGTCCAAATCTGCGCTCAGTCACTCCAACAGTGCTTAATGATGCTTAATTAAAGCTACGTATTATTTTTGAACACATTCTTGTTTTCTGTTCTATGGGTGAGTAATGCAATATTGGTCTCGTTAATAACGATTGTTGCATTTATATTGAGTTAGAAGAGTTACGAAACCATTCTTTACGACCGTCACTCTTACACTACTTACACGGATACTTCGACGGCATGCCTTTGTGGATTATGCGAACTCCAGTACATTTTTTCTTTGTTTTTTTTTTGCAGTCGTTATCCTGGTGGTGACTTGGTTTTGGTACAGCTGTTTGAGTGTAGTTGGAACACGTCTGCCCAATGCTTAGGTGGTCGTCCCAAGAGATGTTTCCATGCTTGTGAAATCCGATTTGGACTTTTTTTCGTCCATCTATTGTCTATTCTTCTTTTTACATAACTGGCCGGTCCATGTACTGTGTAAATGAGTAATATCCTGAGTGTCGAAAGTCGGGCAGACTTTGAAGCTCTGAGCGTCGCGTTCCGGCTAGATATTGTTTGTGCCGTTCATATTTCAGAAAAAATCGTTTAAGCGCTCAATGAGTAACGCCCCGTATTTTTGGCGTGGTTGAAATATCAGCTAACGTCTTATTGCATAACGAACTGCAAGATAAACTGTGAATTCGAGAAGGCGAACGCGGAGTGTTGCGTGTGTAAGTAGATTGGTGGGTTTTTTGAGTGGCTCAAATGTGGCTTGCTCTCTTTCATCTGTCTTACATGCTGTTCTCCATTTTTGTTCAGCATCTTCTCTGATTTACTAGTACTCTTCAAAACAGCGATGTCATCCGCGAAACAAAGTTTTGATAGAAATTTTCCACCAGCACGTATGCGGTTTTCGCGTTGATCGATTAACTCCATTGCCCACTACATGCCGCAGCAAACACCTCTGGCGATGAGGCATCACCTTTTAGAACCACTTTTCTTATGGGTGTGGTAAGAGTTTGATGGAAAACCTGTATTTTTTTAGCACTACTCCGATAACAATCGACGTATGTTTCTATGTAGGAAAGGTCCACTTCTTCACCCGATTTTTAAATACCTAAGTTTGCGATTCACGTTGAGGTGAACACCCGAAGACACCACAGGAGGCTAGGTTAGGAGACCAGAAGAGAATAAGGCATTAAGCTCGCAGTAGGCCAACCTCGATAACAAGCATAGCTAGTGCCCCCATCAGTGAAGTAAGCCGGTAGAATCGGTTAGAGGTCACAAAATCTTGAGTTACGCTAGGCGTCTTTGGAGTCAGGTTTAACGAATGCACCTACGGTACGCTATTGGGCCAGTTTCTCATCATGCACCTAGAACGCCATGACGCCATCCTCAAGCGCTGAGCTTGACGCTCTTCTTAAACTCGCTGGTGTTTCCATGTAATCGCCCTACTTGCTTGAATGATGCTTGGACGGGCTTTTAGAAGTTTTGCTGTCTAGACATTGTGGTTCCTTAGAATTCCGAGGTCAACCCGGCCAATATCCACTCAGTTCGTTACCACCGCATGCAGTCACCGCCCTTGTGGATCGGAGTGAGATTTGCTACCGTGTGGCTGGTTTAACACCAGGTCAGTAATGGATCTTGCTACTGGTTTACTCTTAGTGGGGCATCCTGATGGAGAACCCAGACTCTTCCTCAGGTTGGGAGAAGCCGCCGGAAAATGAATTTTCTGCTGTATACCGCAGTCCGATACCCAGGAACACCTTCCAGCCACGAAGAAGTGGTAAATCATAGAAAGGATCGTCGTAAAAAAGAGAAAAGCGAAAAGACCGACAGGTACCAACTAAACAATGTGATGCATGTCATAGCCGGAGAAAGGTCTCGTCGCAAAATGTCAGAAGGGTAGACTTTTTCGTCTACTCGTCCATTACCGATTTCGTCGACTCGTGCGAGATCCTCTCTCTTCGCATGGCTATCCTCCTTCTTCATCAAATGCGTAATAAGAGGATGACGATTACCAATTGCTCCTCACCCACCGCCGCAGATATGCTTTACTACCATTGGGTTAAGATTAGCCGCAATGATAAGGAGTATTGTAAATTTATTGTCGGAGACTTCAACTCCAGAATAGAAAAGGCCAACAACGGCGAATAATTGAAGAATTTGGATTTGGAGAAAGAAACGAAAATGGAAACCGTCTTATAAGAATACAAGAAGAAACCATCTACTCTGCAGTGCCCTCGGATATTTGTACTATAATGTCTTTATGTTACCCATTCTGAATGGTGATGGGATCTCGGAAACCTTTTATTTGGAACCCTGAAAAATAGCTGGAAATTTCTACACGAACCCTTCCCTTTCTATATTTCCGACCCTGCACAGCAAAATCGCCGTTGGGGAAAAACCACCTGGAATTCTCTCCTCTGAGATTAGAGCTGCGAAAGAAAGCATTAAACAAAGCACAGCTCCGGGACCTCATAGACTAACCACTGACCTACCATCAAAGTTGGAAGCCACAGTTTATCTCCAAAAAGAAAAATCCTATACTGGCGCAGGAAGTGGCGCACAGTTATTTTGCTCAAAAAGGTGACCAAGGGAGTTGACGTACTTATCGCTCGGTATTCTCGTTTAGAGCACTCCGCAAGCTCTTCACGAAGATGTGCTCTTGCCACATCAAAGACTTTGCATTAGACACAACAGTAAGCAAGTAGGATTTCGACAAACATTTTGTTGTATAGAGCGCATCCAAACTGTGCTCAGCGTTCATTGAAGTTTGTCGAAAATACCACCTACCCAAAGCCCTAACCCTTGACGACTATGAAAAAGCATTTGACAATGTCGAAACGAATGCAATCCAATCAGCGCTCGTCGACCAAGGAATAAAACTGTCCTAGATTACAACTCTGCCTGTTATCGAAACTGCACTACTAAAATACAGCTTTTCATCGATCCCATTCCACAGCCATAGGAAAAGCGGTTTGACAAGGCGACACAATATCGTCAAAGCTGTTTGGTCAGCACTTCAATGGATTATGAAGTCATTCGACTAGGATGAGAAAGGCGTACGCATTGGTGGAAACTTCGCATCAAACCTTTGTTTCGCCGGCAACACCGTATTCCTTTCAAGACGTACCGTTAAAGCAGAGACGATGATCAGTGGTCTCAACGAAGAGGAAAAAAAGATCGAACCACACAAATCGGAAGAAGACCTGGTTCATAAAAAGTCGATAGTACTAGGACGAACGGATCAACTTGGACAGTTCACTGACTACAGAGATCATCTCGCATAAATACCTTAACGTACAACGAAAGCGGAGAACAACATGAAAGAGGAACTAGATAGAAAGTAGGAGATCGGGACGGGGTGCATCCGGACCTCTCAAAGAAGCCAGCGGTCAACTAATAGCTCTCGTTTAC